AGCTTTAAATTTGACAAGTCCCAGTGAGGGATGATAAAAATTGTACTTTGCTCTCCTTAAACCCTAAGCCATTATGAGAAGAGGGGGTTAACTGGAATTTTGAAGTTGAATCGATCGTAAAAAGCAGAGGAAAATGTGCATTATGAATGAGCATGGGAAAGGTTTTAAATCCAGTCAAGAGACTGGAATATTTGGAAAGACACATAGTATATAAAAAATATCCATCATTGCATCTGCATGGGTGGTGCGCCTTCTCAGTATAGCCTAAAGCAGCTGCTCGATCACTGATCACTCCTCTTCAAGGGAGACCTGGTTCTGCTGGGTGCTGAGGAGGGGCAGGGCGGCCCTTGTCTTGCCTCGCCTCCCTGCACCATGACCCCACCCCTATTCATCAGTATCATCAGGGATTATTGAGCTAGCACATTTGTGTGCTGAAACTAGTAGACCTTTCATTTTTTGCAGGTGATGAAACTAAATCTTTTTTCTTTTGTTCTCCTACCTTTTTATTTGAAATTGCAGAATTTACAGAAAAGTTTAAAGAAATCATAAAGAACACTAGTTGCACCTTGTTTCACCAATAGGACGTTCTCTACCACGAGCACATCATTTCTGTTGTTGCTGTTAGCTGCTGTCCAGTTGGCACCTATTCATGGTGACTTCATGCACAGTACTATCTATCCACAGGATTTTCGTTGACTGATTTTGGAAGTAGATCATCAGGCCTTTTCTAGTCCATCTTAGTCTAGAAGCTCTGCTGAAACCTGTTCAGCATTAGAGCAACACGCAAACCTCCACTGACAGACGGGTGGTGACTGCGCCTGAGGTGCACTGGCCGGGAAGCAAACCCAGGTCTCCCGCATGGAAGGAGAGAATTCTACCACTGAACCGCCACTGCCCTCAGATAACATCATTCGTACTTCCCAGATCCTTAACATTGATACGCGAGTGTTACCTAATATAAACACCGTATTTCAATTTCCCCAGCTGTCCCAGTAGCTTTTTTATTTTCTCTCATGGTGTTGACTGTTTTGAAGAGTCCAGGCTAGTGCTTTGTAAAATGTGCCCATAATCTGAATTTGTCTTTTTCCTTATGATTAGATTCAGGCTACACGTATCTGACAAAAATCCTACATGGTTGATACATAGTCCTTGTACATCAGGAGGCAATGATGTCAGTTTGTCCTGTTACTGGTGATGCAACGTTTAATCGCTTGGTTAAGGGGATGATGGCTGCATTTCTTCATAGTAAAGGTACCCTTTTCGGGTGTAATGGTGTTTTCCTTTTATCCTTTCCTTCCATCCAGTAGTTTTAGCCTCCATTGATGATCCTTGCCTGAGTCAATTACTGCACTGGTGCTGGCACAGAGTGTTAATTTTTTAATTCTTTCATTCTTTTTATGTATCAGATGGAATCTTCAGTATTAAACCTAGGTCTTTCTGACGCCAAGGCTCCTACTCTTTCCATTAAATAAACTACTTTTCTAATATGTAGGCAAATGAAGTCTGAGGGTGCTACAAAAATAGAGAATTTTAATTTTATCTTTTATTTAGAGCTCCATTTAACATTATCTTAGCAAAAATCAACCTCTTTTGTAGCTTTGAAATCTATGGAAACAAAGCCTCTATAATACTCAAGAAGAATCAATGCATTTGAATTGTGGTGTTGGCAAAGAATATTGAATATACCATAGATTTCCAGAAGAATGAGCAAATCAGTCTTAGAAGAAACACAGCCAGAATGCTCCTAGATGTAAGGATGGTGAGACTTTGGCTGTCTTACTTTGGACATGTCATCAGGAAAGGCCAATTGCTAGAAAAGGGCATCACAGTTGGTAAAGGAGAGGGTCAATGAAAGCAAGGAAAATCCTCAATGAGATGGATTGACATAATAGCCAGAACAATGGACTCAAACATACCAACGATCATGAAGATGGCACAGGACCGGGCAACATTTCATTCTGTTTTGCATAAATAAGGTCACCATGAGTCAGGGCCAACTCGATGGCAATTAACAACAACAGCACTGCGTACAGAGCTGTTATTTCTAGGGCTTATATGTGAAGGCACATATTTTAAAGAGGCAGAGAATGTCCAAGTCAGGCCCCTTCCGTCAGCTACCCCTCCCTCAACATCACTGACATTATCCCACCTCTTTAGGGGTCCAAATTAAATTTTCTCTTGCTTTTTTTTTGGCCAGAGGTTGGGAGGAGAGAGGTGGTTTTGCAATCAAAAATGTCACTTTCATTTTTAGGGTTTTTTTTTTTAAAAGCGGTGAAGCTGGATTGAAGAGTTTGGTGGAAATTCCAACATTCTTCCCTGAGCCAAGACATCGGGATCCCCCTGGGTGGGGGAGAAGGTGGGATCTGCAAAGAACCTCTACTCCACCACCTGTGAGACTTACAGACCCACCTTTCAGTGAGTTAGTGCCAAATGGGAGAGCTAGAAGGGCAGGGGCCCCATGAGTCTTGGCTGCTGCAAGGACGCTGGGAACACAGACTCGCAGAGTCAGGAGGAAGCTGGGACAGGAGCAGAGTTACGCTTGCTTTTTCTTTCCCAGTGCTGCTCTCTCTCTGAAAGTCTCCTTGCTTTAATGAAATTAGCAAGAAAACATTCCTGCAGGACTATCTTGCTGCAGACTGGTGGGATTTACTCATTTGGACTTCGTGTATCCGGGGAAACACAGAGAGAAATCCCTAGTTCTACCTCTGTGCCTTTTCTTTGTTAGATTAAGTGGCAACAACTCTTTTAATCACTAATAAATTCAGGTTTGCAAGTCGCTCTGGCAGAATCAGGGTTAGCCTGTCTGTGTTACAAGCACTTAAAAAGCCTCCCAAAATTAAAACAAAAAATATTCTGTTTGCCATCTTTGTACTGTTTAACATGAGGATTTCAACAGTCTTTATTTTCCAAACATGCAAACAGGAGAGAGTGATCTGACCCACAGTATATTGACATACTATGTAGCTATAACCTTGAGATAAAAAGTAAAGAAAAAAAGTCAAAACAGCTCAAAGCAAATACTAACACAAGTCTTCCCTCAGCCCAGATCCCTTCCCCCTAGAGCAAGGGCACAAGTTAGTGTTTGCACATGCTGTCGATGGTGGGCACACACAGGCCCACACTTGTGTGGATCCCTGGGGCCAGGGCCCAAACACGTAACTGGAAAGTCTGATGTATTCATTAATTGAGCAATTCCTCAAATGTTTATTAAGCATCTTCTGTGTGCCAGACATGGTTCTAGGAATGGAAATATGTTAGACTTGCAAGCTGTCTGCCCTTCTGGGACTTATCTAATGGTGTTAGAGAAAGATCAAAGAAACCCACCCCACCCCCTGTCCCAGTGTTGAGAGGAGATGGGAAAAAACAGCTGTACCAGAAAAGCTGAGCTGGTTTCCTGGATTCTGTATATCCAAAAATGGAACTGCTTCACATCTGGGTCACATGGTGGAATGGCCATTAAAAGACAAGAAGACAGAAACAAAGAAGCAGAGAACCAAGGAGAAGCTTCTCTCCCCACGTTGCACCGAGGGTCCTTTGGGGGTTTTTACCAACTTGATCAAGACAAGCCAAACCATTATCTTATAAATTTAAAAATATTTACAAGATGACGGATAAAAGAAATAATAATGACTTGTCCCCTGCTGAAAGAACTCCAAAGCTGGCATGCTAATGTAATAACAGGTAAGTTACTGAGTATCTTGGCTCTGCCGAGCTCAATGCTAAGCATTTTACGTATATTGGCTCATTGAATCCCTCAACCAACCACCTGGTGAGATAAACACTAATTTTATTCTCATTTCCCATATGAGGAAACAGACCTAGAAAAATTAAGTAACTTGCCCTTGCCCCTAAGGACACAAACCTGGTAGATAACAGAACCAGACCGAACCCCAGTTTTGTCTGACTCCAAAGTCCATGTTCTAAACCACTACACTTTCTTTCATAAAATTATTTTTTATCATTTTATTTAAGGAAATAAAGGTGTTAATATTGAATAGGAAAATAATTCAAGTAACTTCAAAGCTTGTTCTGTGTTTTCAAGATTTTATCTAGGAAAAGGACATTCAAACATGTCCTATCAGTCAAAAGCAAATACTCCACTTTCTGAAATGCATGAGAAATTAAGAAATGAACTTTTGCAATTACTTAAAATGTACAGAAGCTCCAACACCTAAATTACAATTATGATTCAGGAATGAACAGAGATTAGTATTTTATTCAGCCAATAAATTATTCCTCAACGTTTCTTTTATTTTACAATTGCATACATTTCCATCTCTGCGCTTTACTTGACATCTAAATGAATAATAAAATAACTAAGGTGAAGCCTGTTTAATTTAAAAAAAATGCAGCACTCCATAATGGACTTTGTGGCTATTTGGGGATGAAGCCATATCAAAAATCCTTATCAAAAAATACAAAAATAATTACAGTAGAGTTAAACTTTGGAGAATCCAGGGAGTTGGGGGGGGTGCTGGTTTTTGCTTTAAATCACTGAAATTAAATTAAAAGTGATCGGAGTGCTTATTTTTACCTTGTTTTGTGGGACACTGTGCTGGGAATGTGGATCTATTGTGCACAAAGGATGTTTGTTGGCATTATGCTAGAAACACCAGGCAGGTTGAGTTGAGAAACAATTAGCTCAGTCAGCAAACTTTTGACTCTGATGGAGCCAGGAAGTGGTAACTCCCAGAACAGGCAGATGACGGGAATGAAGGTGGTAACTCCAAATCAAGGAATGATTTTTTTTTTCCCTCTTTCTCTGAAATAAACTAGTATCAGATTTTATTGTGTCAAATTTATGGCAAGGATTAATGTATGACTTCTTTTTTTACCTTTGAGGAAACAAATGGAATCGTGTTTCCAAGCAGGTCAACAGTCCACACGTGTCATGGCTACCATCTCTCAGAAACCTCTGTTTATTGAGGCCATCATAGCCTCATGTTTTGGTTACAAAGCCTCTTTGACACCAAGAACTCAAGTGACAGAGGAAAATGAAGGGCTGCCGGCCAGACTCTCGTTACCCTGGGTAGTCTCAGCGTGTTCTCTGGAGTCATCGCTGTCTTCCCCGCCTTTTCTTACAAGCTTTGGTTCACAGGATGGAGCATTCTGATTGCTTGTCCCATCTGGAATGGAGCTTTGGTAGGAAAATATTTCACTGCATGTACTGACAGAAGGAAGGAAGGAAGGGAGGGAGGGAGGAAGCAAGAGAGAGAGAGAAAGAAGAAGGGAGAGAGGAAGGGTAGGAGGGAAAATAGAATATGATGTTCTTTTTGAATTATCCAACAATATGAGGAAGTCAAAATTCTACGGAAAATCAGAATTCACCTTGTTGTTATAGTTAGGTAGTGACGAGTCAATTCTGACTCATAGCAACCCATGCAAGACAGTAGAACTGCCCCTGTAGGGTTTTCTTGGCTGCAATATTTATGGGAGCAGATTGCCAGGTCTTTCTCCCTTGGAGAGGCTGTGTGATTTTGAGCCGCCAACCTTTCGGTTAGCAGCTGAGAGCTTAACCATTTGCACCACCAGAGCTCCTTGAATTCACCTTAAAAACAAAATAAAACAAAACCTGTTGCCGTTGAGTCGATTCCAACTCACAGTGATCCCATAGGGCAGAGCAAAACTACCCGTAGGGTTTCCAAGGAGTGGCTGGTGGATTCGAACTGCCAACTTTTGGTTGGCAGCCGAACACAATTTCACCTTAGAGCATTGATTTCTATTTGTTGCATTTTTAATATAGGATATTTCTTAATATTGTTTTATCCTCTACACTATAATCAAATAGGAGCCCTGGTGGCATAGTGGTTAAGAGCTACGTCTGCTAACCGAAAGGGTTGGCAGTTCAAATCCACCAGCCACTCCTTGGAAACCATATGGGGCAGCTCCACTCTGTTCTATAGGATCGCTATGAGTCGGAATCAACTTGACAGTGATGGGTTTGGTTTGGTTTTTTGGGATAATCAAATAAGGAACCCTCATGGTGCAAATGGTTAAGCATTCAGCTGCTAACTGAAAGGTTGATGATTTGAACCCACTCAGAGGCACCTCAGAAGACAGGTCTGGTGATCTCCTTCCGAAAGGTCACAGCCTTGAAAACCCTATGAGGCATAGTACTACTCTGCACACATGAGGTAGCTAGGAGTCAGAATCAACTTGATGCAAGCAACAACTTATAACAAAAGTTCTACAAAACAATACCTAGCTTTCTGTATGAAATGTATTTTGGTATTTTCTCTTCTATTTAATTTTTTTTAAATTCTGATTTCACAACAGACTCAAAGTTTAACAAAACTATGATTATAGTCCAACCTTTCTTTCCTTTCTTATAACTCTCTGTATATCCTGCAGATTCTATCATTCTACAGTGAAACCTGTGTGAGCCAGAGCTCACCAGGACGGCCTTATTCTTCTGGGTCTCATATGCTTTCCGCCTTTGACAGAGTGCAGTCTTACCACTCTTTGTTAGCTCTCTATTAGCGGAAAATATTTGACTTCTCCTTCTCTGGCAGGTTCCACCTTATAGAGGTTCTGGTTATCACAGGTTGTACTGTCCGTTTCATGGGTATTGGTGATTTGATTAGAAGCACAGATTATGGAACTGAGGCTTGTTCTAGGCCAGACATCTGTTTTGCCAATTAGGCCCAGAGAAATGATATGATGGGTCTCAAGCACATAGCTAGTTAGTGGATAATTGATTTCAGGGTGGCACAATCAGGACACGGTGTCCGAGAGGTGGCATTTGGGGAGGTGGACCTGTGCGCAAGTCCTGTCTTTGATATTCTTCAGTGTGGTCAGTCAGGAGCCAGACCCTTAGTCACCCAGTCCCTTCTTGGCTTTACTTTTAAAATGGGGACTTTCATAGTTGTGTAACCCCAAGATGCTCGGTGAGAATAAACACAGTTTGAACCATGGTTGCGTAATAAAAAGTTTTGCCAGTTTTGAAGCGCTACCCAAAGGCTGGTTAATAACATGCCTTTCATTTGTGCTCTACTTGCTGTCCCATCCCTTTGTTCCTAGACCCTGCCACCTGCCTCACTTTCCCATCCCACTCCCTGATGGCCTGCTGAATTCCCCATCCTGTTACCTCCTGGACCTCATCCTCTACCACTCTTCCCTTAGTTCATTTTTCTCCTGTCACTCTGGCCTCCTTGCCAATTCTGAAACCTGCCAAGCTGTGTTTCTGCCTCAGGGCCTTTGCACTGCTATTCATTCTTCCAGAAGCCTCTTCCTATACAAGGCTCACTTCCTAACTTCCTTCAGTTCTTTGATCACATGTCACTTTCTCGCTGAGGCCTTCCCTCACTCCCGTATTTAAAATTGTAAGTCCCCAACCCCCTCCATCCGACTGATACTCCCAATCTCTCATGTTCTGCTTTATTTTTCTCCCATAGCCTTTATCACCTTCTAAGATACTACATAATTTACTCATTTACTGTTGGTTTGTCCCCTCTACCACCACCAAATGTACATTGTACAGGGCAGAAATCGTTTTTCCTATTTACTACTATATCTCCGGTACCTCGAACAGTGAGTCACATACTAGGTGTACAATAAATATTGTTCAATAAATATTGTTGAATGAGTGAACAAACCCCATGCTCTCCATTCTAGCGGTACAGAATTCCTTATAGAGTTAAAGCTCTGATTGGGTTGCAGGGACTAAAAGGTCAAACTGGTATTTATACTAAAGCGGGAAAAAAATCCTCATGAGAAGGAAAGCAAAGAATGCTCACTCTTTCAATAATATCTAAATTTGGAACAACGTGAAACGTATATATTTTTTTTTCCTAGTGAACCACAGCTCTGTCTGATCAGGGTCAACTTCAAAAGGTCTCTGGCTCATTCCACAACCTTCCTTGTCAATCAGTTCTTAACTTGTCTCCAAAAAAATGTGTCTTCCTCTGGTAGAAAGATAATTTGTACATTTCAATCATATTGACATTTCCTTTGGCTAATGATTCACTGTCTCTTCTGAGACTTGTAAAAGGTAGATTTTTACATGTGATACAGTACTTTGTTTGGTGCCTTTCATTTAAGACTTCCTAAACTCTTCACAAAATTGGTCCTCAGACTCTCCTAGCTTCCTTCTGATAATCACATGACGAGCAATTTTCCTAGAATTTCTGAGCCAGGTTATTTAAAGACATCAGCTGCTTCAAAGTATGCAGCGAGGAGATCATACTGTCTTAAGGACTGAGGTCTGGCTTAATCCTGGAAAACCTGACTGCAGATCAAGCTCTGATCAAGAGACTGAAGTGCAGGAAGTTTAAATGCAAGAACTGAGGCCTGGAGGTCCAGGTACCTGGACTGCACAGCACCCAAAACCCTGTTTGGAGACAGGAATTTGGGAGAAAGGTCAGGGCTAGACTTACCCATGCAGGCCCTAGTTTCTTTGTCCGTTAGAGAAGTGTCTAGATGACCGGATTGTTCCAGTCTCATTCCAACTTTAACAGCCTGTGATTTCCAACCACCCAATGGTCATCTCAGGAGTTTTTGGGTGGCACAAATGGTTAAGTGCTCAACTACTAATCAAAAGGTTAACATTTTGAACCCAGCCAGAAGCGCTACAGAAGAAAGGCCTGGCCATCTGCTTCCGAAAGGACACAGCCTTGAAAATCCTATGGAACGCAGCTCTACTCTGCAATACATGGGGTTGCCATAAGTCTGAATTGATAGTAACTGGTTTGGTGGGATTTTTGTTTGTTTGTTTTGTTTTTTAGTGGTCAATTTCACCACCCATTTGTCAGTTTGTTGTATTGTCATGGCTTGTGTGGCTGTGATGCTAGAAGCTATGCCACCAGTATCTCAAACACAAGCAGAGTCACCCATAGTGGACAGGTATCAGCGGAGCTTCCAGACTAAGACAGACCAGGAAGAAAGGCCTGGTGATCTACTTCCCAAAACTAGCCAGTGAAAACCTTACAGATCACAATAGAACATAGCTCAACTCCCTCGCTTTGGATACATTATCAGGAGAGATTAATCACTTGAGAAGGACATCATAGTTGGTGATGTAGCGGGCCAATGAGGGAGAGGGAGACCCTCCGTGATATGGATTGACATAATAGCTGCTATGATGAACTCAAACATGCCAGCGATTGTGAGGATGGTGAAGGACCAGACAACGTTTTGTTCTATTGTACATAAGGTCACCATGAGTTGGAATGGACTCAATGACAGCTGTCTATCTACCTATCTATCTAATGATCACTTTTTTACCAAGATATCCTAAGCTTATTTAAGCTCATCTTTTCCAAAAACAAATTAATCATTTTACAAAAAAAAGACCAGACTTACTGGCCTGACAGAGACTGGAGAAACCACGAGAGTATGGCCCCCGGACACTCTTTTAGCTCAATAATGAAGTCACTCCTGAGGTTCACCCTTCAGCCAAAGATTAGACAGGCCCATAAAACAAAAGGAGACTAAATGGGCACACCAGCCCAGGGGCAAAGACGAGAAGGCAGGAGGGGACAGGAAAGCTGGTAATAGGGAACCCAAGGTTGAGAAGGGGAGAGTGTTGACATGTCGTGGGGTTGGCTACCAATGTCACAAAACAATATGTGTATTAATTGTTTAATGAGAAACTAGTTTGCTCTGTAAACCTTCATCTAAAGTACAATAAAAAATAAAAATTAATTATCTTACCCCCAAAACCAACCCTTTCTTCTCCTGACTTCCCTGTTATAGTCTTGCGCATCCAACTGCAAACCCTGAGTGATTTTTGGCTCAATTCTTTCTTCTAAACCGGTGCTTCTCACGCTTTAAAGTGCATACGAATCACCTGGGAATCTTGTTAAAATGCTGACTTATTCACTATGTCTGAGTTGGGGCCTGAGATTCTGCCTTTCTAACAAGCTCCCAAGGGATGCCGATGCTGCTAATCGTAGGATTGCACTTTGCTCAGCAATGCCCTAAACCAACTCACTCCCAACCCCACTTGCACCCCATCACATCCAATCAGTTGCCAGGTAACTTTGATTTTTCCTATGAGGCATCGCCCCGTGTGTCTATTTCTCTCTGTTGTCACTGTGCAGACCTCTCAGTCCTTCACCCTTACCACTCCCCACCTCGCTCCCAAATTTTATCCCTAGATAACTTTGATAACTAGACTGTGGGAATCTACCCACCGTTGTTGTTGTTAGGTGCCATCGAGTTGGTTCCGACTCATAGTGACTCTATGTATGACAGAACGAAACACTGCCGGGTGCTGGCGCCATCCTCACAATCGTTGTCATGCTTGAGCCTGTTGTTGCAAACACTGTGTCAATCCATCTCATTGAGGGTCTTCCTCTTTTTCGCCGACCCTCTACACTACCAAGCATGATGTCCCTCTACAGGGACTGATTCCTCCTGATAACATGTCCAAAGTATGTGAGACGCAATTTTGCCATCCTTGCTTCTAAGGAGCATTCTGGTTGTACTTCTTCCAAGACAGATTTGTTCATTCTGTTAGCAGTCCATGGTATATTCAATATTCTTCACCAACACCACAATTCAAAGGCATCAATTCTTCTTCGGTCTTCCTTATTTATCGTCCAGCTTTTGAATGCATATGAGGCGATTGAAAATTAATCGATTGGATAGCTAGCTACCAGCATTTACAGAAAGAATTAAATAGAATAGAAAATATTAGAATGCGTCATACATAATAAGGGTATTATTTTGGTTCTATATAAAAATGCACATAACTTAGGCCATGATGCAAAATGTATTCCTTACTGTGGGTAGAGGTTAAAAAAAAGTCAGAAGTCCAGGGTCCTGCATAGCCCTCTAGGACTTACCCTGTTCCAATCTAGCATGCATGTGGCAACTAGGCTCATCTTTCTAAACCTCTGTTATAGTCAGGTTAGCTCCTTCTTCAAAAACCTTTTATGTTTCTTCATTTTCCCCAAAGTCCAGACACATTAGCCTGCATTTTGAGGCCCTCCTCATCCTGGCGTTACGAGGCTTTTAGGGTTGATTTCTTGCTCCCCTCTACCAAGAACCAACCTCCATTCTGTCTCCATCCTCATTGGTCCCCAGGCATGACCTTGCGCATGCTGCTTCCTCTGCCTGGACTGCCCTCGCCTCTGCCATCTCCCATTGAAATCACACCCATCCTTCAACTCCACTTCCAATTGTTTTCCTCAGGATGCCTTTGTCAATTATTGTTCTCCCTGGAGGTCGTATCTTGTCACTGAGCTCCCCTCACTTAAAAATCACTCACTCTTCTTGCCTTATTTTGTGGACATTCTTGTATGTGTGTTATTTTTACATCTGAACTGTAAACCCCAATGAGAGCTGGAACCATTATTTGTACAATTGGCGGCCTTGCTCAAGTTATTTAACCTCTATGTGCCTCAGGGAGCTCTGGTGGCGTGTAGATAAGCGTTCGGCAGCTAACCAAAAGGTCGGCAGTTCAAATCCACCAGCCACTCCTTGGAAACCCCGTGGGGCAGTTCAACTCTGTCCTGGAGGGTTGCTGTGAGTTGAAATCAACTCGATGGCAACAGGTTTATGAGCCTCAGATTATTCATCTATAAAGTGGGACAATATCTACATCAGACGGTCATTACAGGGGTTAAATGAGTTTACACATATAAAGTGTTCAGTGTACTGCCTCTCAATAAATGTTAACTCTTATTATCATTATTTTATCTGCACAGTGCCTATTGCATCCGGTGTTCATAGTAGACCCACAATAGATGCTTGTAAGTGAATAAATTAATTACTATGATTGATCAATATGATTCCTCTAAAAGTTTCCATTTCTGTTGTAACTGCTGCCCACTTCCTTCAGTTCATCTGTTTCTGGGAATCATATCCTTTACTTAGATTTAGTGGGAAAGTTCAAAATTATCATGCAATAGAAGTGTTGGCCACAAATGTTGCAAAACCAAAGCCATGCCTCTGGAACTGCCCAGAGAGCAAGTCAACAGCCTGTTGAGAAGAACTGAGGAAGCAGAGTGCAGGCCTACACCTTCCTCTTTCCCCACACACTGTCAGGCACCCCTCCACACAACTTGGCTTCTCACAGCTTGGATGCCCTGTTTTTCTCAGCATTGTGCTCTCAGACAGTCCGCTCTCACATTTTCTTTTCCCACTTGACGTGTCTTCTCTGCCCTCCAATCATTTTTATTCTTTTTTCCTTCCCTATCTAAAAATAAATTTTAAAAAAAGACATGAAAAATTGAAAGCAGGAACATAAACAGACACTTGTACACCATCGTTCACAGCAGCGCTACTTACAATAGCCAAGAGGTGGGAACAACCTAAATGCCTATCAACAGGAGAATAGATAAACAACATATGGTACGTACACACAGTCGAATATTACTCAGCCGTAAAGAGAAATGAAGTCCTGATACTTACTATGACATGGATGACCCTTGAAAACATCACGCTGCATGGCATAAGTCAGTCACAAAAGGACAAATATCATGTAATCCCACTTATACGAAATAGGCAAATGTATAGACACCAAAGTTTATTGATGGTTACCAGGGGTTGGTGGGAGGGGGGAGGAGGGAGTCATGCTTGGGGGGCACTGAGCTTCTCTTAAGGGTACTTGGGTAATTTGGAAATGAACAGTAGTAACGGTTGCACAACATGCTCCATATAGTCAATGTCACTGAGTTGTACATGTAAAAAATGTTGAATTGATAAATGTTTTGTTATATATAATTTTACCACAAAAAACAATTTTTAAAAAAGAAATGAAAGATGGGAAGAAAGGGAGGAAGGTTGTGACTCTTGGGAGGGAAATACTCCATGCATGCTCTATCTCCATGGCATGGTGGCGTGCCAGTAGAGATGAAGGTGCTCAGCTCTGGAGTCCTCATCCACAGGTGGCTTTGACAAGTTACTGAAATGCATGCATGCTCCAGCTTACTCCATGAAAGCTCTTTTGCAAAGTTTTGTGTAAACAAAACAAAATTCAAGCTGGCAGCTACCACAGAAATACCAGGCAACTGCAACTCTACAGCACTTTCCAACTTCTGGAAGGAAAGAAAAAGCTCATGCCAAAGTAGTTAAGGCAACCTGGAATCCAAGCATCTGATAATGTCAGCTATCTCCTCCGAGTTACACCAGCAGACGAGGGTCAGCTTCCTCTCCTTTGCTCTTTTCTTGCCTCCATTTTTCTCTCTGATTAACCAGTATGAGTGACGTGTAAATTGAGGGCTTTGCCTCTGTAAGTACAGACAGGCCCAGGCTTTCACCACAGCATCAGTGTTACAATTGCTCTTAATAATTTCCCTGTTTTGCTGTATTATTTATGCTGAACCTCCACAGGGTTCCTTGGAAACTATCCTTTTGCAGAATCAAGCCAGGAAGCTCTTTTGCCTACAGATGGTTCTGTTTTATCCGTGGGAGTTTTACGGTGTGGCAATGCCGAGTCTGGAATTTGAGTCTCAGCTACTTGAGAAGTTTTGTGTGAGTGTGTATGTGTGTGTGTGTTTTTTCCCTCCCTCTCAAATTCTCTCAATCCAACACACAAAATAAAATATGCCAGGAAAATGAAAAGCTAGGTCTCAAAACAATATATATGCCAGACCTATAGCTACAAAAGCAGCATACCACAAAACCATATTTGTAAAAGCTCTGATGTTTTTCCCCCTTAAATCTGTTGATACTATGGTGCTATACATACAGTCATGCTTATTCCTCTGTCAAAAAACTAAACTGTACTATTTTTAGACCGTCCACATTCTGTATTTTATTCTAAGCACCTCTCTTCCTAGTTTTCTCTCTCAACCTCAAGACATTCCTTGACTAAGAACAAATGATTTATGGATGGGGAATAAGCAGGTTCAGGCTCAATGATCACAAAGGTCTCCTTCATCATACCTAGTGCTGAATCAAAGATAAGCCCAGAGTGGGTTTTTTTTTTTTCTTTAACATTATCTATTGTTCCATTCTGCTGACACTATTTCTTCCTTTGTTTAACTATTTTTATTCTGTGCTTTGGGCCTTTTTCCTTCAACAGGGGCTGTAAAGAAAAACTCTCCTTTGAAAAGCTGGACACCACTTCACCCAGAACAATAAATTGCACATCATGAATTCATTGTAATGATAATCTTTGTTACTTGAGAAACAGGGATCAGGTATTGGTACCCCACCAGCAGGCTGAGGCTGTAGAATCTCAAAAGAAAGCAAATGGTAAAAGATAATGCCACGGCTGGAGTGGTTTCCAGAGTCCTGTGACAGGTTTCCGTTTTGGTTCCTCCCATTTGCAATTTTAGCAATTGGTGAGAGAGATGGACAACAGACCATTGATCAAAATAAAACATATGGCAAGGGTCATAAAGCCAGGTTTCCATTCTGCTGACACCTTATGGAAGTGGAGGTTATAATTGTGATGGCAAACGCAACACAGAGAATCAAAACACAAGCTTGTATGGATTTTGTCTTTGTGACACTGATGGCTTATTTTCCTCATTGTCATCACAGTTCTTCCATGGATGAGGAGGAGATCAGGGTCATAAATCCATGTAGCCATTTGCTGTTTCTTCTAGTTCGTAATAAAGTTGTCAAACTGTAAGACAGATTGGACTCTCTCTGGAAGTACGTTCTACCATGGAGGTTATTTTTCCATTTTTTCCCCCACAGGCCATCACGGCTGGTGTGCTTCTACTACTGGCTCACAGGGAGTGGACCCAGAGATACCTGGTAAATATTTAGACATCTGCTAGGAAGGTAGAGTGGATTCGGAGGTCAATAACTATTAGTTCAGGATGTAAGAGAAAAAGACTCAAGTTCCAATTACAATTGAATTATTTTGAATTGATGCCTTACTATGATGGATTTCAGTAATCAACTAATGTTTTAATGGAATATCTTTTATCTGATTCCTGCTGCAAACATTTTCTACAAGTTCCTGTGGTTATTGTATTTGGTGAAGACAGTATTAGTGCTACAACATAGATGTAATCATTTTGAAGGGCTGGATCTATAAGCTCCTTTGCTTTTAATAATGTATCCTCAAGTCTCAACTCCTCAATTTGGGGTCTCCCTCCAATCTCCCTGTTACCTCTCCCTCCACAAAAGGATGAAAAGTCTATAATATCTTGTATTCTGACAGTATCGAGTCAGGTAACCCATGATATAGAAATACTACCTTGATCTGGTTATAGATTTTCTTTCTATGGCTAATGTAGTACTTCTCAAACTTTATCGTGTGTGTGAATCACCTGGGGATCTAATTCAGTAGCACTGGGTGAAGCCTGAGATTCTGCATTTCTAACCAGCTTCCAGGGGATGTTGACGCTGCTGGATCATGGACCAAACCCTGAGAAGCAAAGCCCTAGAATAGGGCAGAGATTCTGATACTCATCTTTGTTTTTCCCAACATAGTATAGTTCTTCTACACATGTCAAAAGATAACTAAATAAATGTTGTTGAATGGAGTTGATTGCATTCTTTCCCCAGTTGACTGTTGTGTTTTTCTCCTCTAATGTATATTGGAGCGGAGATATAGGAAGTAAGGGGAAGGTTATAACACATTTCTCCTTTATTTCCCAGGAGGAGAGATTAATATCCAGCATCTTTTTCTTTTTTCATATTTTTAGGAAGCTTTTGAAATGTCTAGTTCTCAAAGTAACAATTTGTTTCTGCTTTATTTTTAGTGGGAAGCCAGTTTCACCTTTGTGATTCTCAGCATCATGGGGTGCCCAATTCATTTTGCAATAGCCTTGGAATCTGCTCTACTTGGCCCATATTGCTTCTACTCGTTTTCAGGGATTGCAGGGACCAATTACCTTGGTTATGCAGTGGCCTTTCCATTTCTGTATGCAAAATTCCCATCAGTCTGCATGGACCCACCACACTACGAGGAGTACCACCTGATGCTTCAAGTCCTTGACCTGTGCCTGAGCTTCGCCATGCTCTGTGCCTCCTTGACAGCGCTTGCCAAGCTTTCTTCAAGACTTATCCGGAATGGAGACATAAATGTAAGCTTCATGAAAGGGGGAACCAGTGAAATGTCCTGAATGCTAAAATGGAAGGTCTGATATATTAATCTTTCTCTCATATTTACCACTGTATCCTATATAACCATGCTAGCCAGTGCTTAGGAAACCCTGGTGGTATAGTGGTTAAGAACTATGGCTGCTAACCAAAAAGTTGGCAGTTTGAATCCACCAGGCACTCCTTGGAAACCCTGTGGGGTTGCTATGAGTTGGAATTGACTCGACAGCAATGGGTTTTTGGTTTGGTAGCCAGTGCCTGGTACATAATAGGTGCTCAATAACTGTTTTTGAAAGAACAAATGGAAGCATGGTGATGTGATAACTACAGATATGGCTGTAGGTAGCACCAACTGATTTGTATCACACCCCACGATTTAAAAAATTTCTAATAGAGACAAGTATTAAGAGTTTTCTGTGTAAATTAAAGGCAGTTTCTTTAATATTTTTAATATTAGTCAAATACAGATATCTTAATTTAGCTTTTATCCCATGAATTCAGAAAGATATACATGCTCTTCAGCTAGAAAAGATATAGAATAAATTCTCCCACTATTTCTGCTCCTATCAGAGAGGCTGATATACCCCAACATCAATTTTAGCTTCCTAACGTTTTCCAAGAGGGCTAATAATAAAATTAATGATATGATAATAATAGAGATGTGTATTAAGTGCTTACTTTATGCCTATTTACTTCCCCATTTTACAGATGGTAAACTGAGGCTAAAGAGTTTGTGTAACTTGCCCAAGGTCACACAGCTAATGAGTAGTAGAGCCAAATTCAGAATCCAGAGCTGTTTCTCTTAACCTTTTCAGGACCGAAGGTATATATAGCTACCATTTACTTTTTGTACTTCTGGAGTTCTTTGGGAAGCTACTGTCACACTGATAGTATGTGCTGCCAGCAGGCAGGGCCCAATATAACAGTGTCATGAATTGAATTGTATCCCCCAAAAATATCTGTCAACTTGACTAGGTCATGATTCCCAGTACTGTATGATTGTCTACTATATTGTAATCTAATGTGATTTCCCTATGTGTTGTAAATCCTATCACTATGATATAATAAGATGGATTAGTGGCAGTTATATTGATAAAATCTACAAGATTAGATAGTGTAGTTTTGGGCAATATGGCACTACAGTCAGAAGCACCATGCCGTCCCTCTGCAGCAAAGATCAGAAAAACTAAGTCAAACAGAGTCCTACGTCAATCCTGAAAGTCTAAGCATCAAATGAAGAGATAAAGAACTCAGCCAACCACCGAATGGAATAAGACACTGACCGAGAACAGAGAGCAAGGAGAGATACATGCAGAGGTCCCCTATCAACTACTGCAGCACGGATCACCATCTTGGACTCCTATCGGAGATCAGCGAACAGGAGGTATGAGAAAGCAGCTTCACGGAGCTTCCAGCAGGAGAGAAACAACCAGTAACCAGCAATATACGCTTTCCCACCCCCACCCTTCTTTACCCCCACTTGGCCTCCTCTGCTTCCCATGGCTACGGTCTCTTGCCTGGAGAACACCAGCTTCACCCTGGTGTTGCTTGGATTCCACCCACACGCACTGGCCGTCTCCCTGAGTGCCTTTTGTTGGCTGCTGGTGTTGCTTTTTTCCACTTCTTTAGATTTCTTCCTTACCTCTCACCACCTCCCCCTCCTCTCTCAAATACCTGGCTCCGTGCGCCATCTTTGCTTCTTCCTGAAAGGCTACGAAACACCACTTGACTGTGAAACGGCTTCCCACCCTGTGCTGTCATGCTGGTGGGACCCCTGGGGCTTTTTTGTTTGTTTGTTTGTTTGCTCTGATTTGTTCTGTTTTGATTTATTTGTTTTCTTTTTCTTTTCTCAGCTTGGGAGCCCCTTCTAGCCAAACAGTACTGCATGGCTTGGAAGCTACTCCTTTACTCTGTGCAGATGCACAGGGACATCCCTGGAGGCATTTCTTTTTTCTTTTGTTTTTTGTTTTGTTATTTTTTTTAATTTCTTTGTTTTGTTTTCTTCTCTCTCTTATTCCTTTTTTGTCATTTTTCATTTCTAGTTTCTCGATTTATTCATTTTTTTCTTTTACCCTTTTTCTTTTTCCTCATTTCTCAGTCTCTCATCTCTCCACTCCAATAGCAAACTCCCTCAGTACTCTTTTTTGTTTGTGTGTATGTTTTTGGCTCCTGTTCCTCTCTCCTCTCTCTCATCTTTCCCATACCCATCTTAGCTCCACACATCACAATCTACCTCCTCCTTCCTGCCTACCTGCACTGTGCACTGAACATCACACTCCCAAGCAGCACAGGCACAGCCTACTGGAACCTGCCCTGCACTGATTCCCGGTCTACACTGTTACCGCTGGTACGTGCCACAAACAACCCATCCCAGAAATTCCCCTTCAGCTGGACCTGCCCTTCTGTACCATACCTGAGTGACTGACCCTGCCCGTTGGAGAAGGAGGTGAAAAGTATCATGCCCACAGATGAGCAAACAACAAAGAACGCACAACCTGCCTACTCAGACATAACCAAATAAAACAAGAAAGTAGGACAAAACAAACAAATCTACAATCAATAAACAAGGAAACTAACCACTGAATGCCCTGAAAACAGCAGAAAATATCGAAACATTTACAAAAACAGGACAGGATGGTTCCAGTAGGTGTCCAAAATAAAATGCTAGATGACCTTCCAGTAGAAGAAAAAGCACAAGACCTAACTGATACGGAATTCAAATCTCTAATATTCAGAATTATCCAAACATTGAAGCAAAAAGCAGACAAAAACGAGGAAAAAATAGACAAGTTCATGGAAATTACCGACAAAAAAAGGGAAGAATTCAAGAAAATAATACAGGAACAAAACGCTAAAATAAATTCACAATTATAAATCATATAAAAACAACAATTAGAAATCCAAAAGATAAACAACAAGATTTCAGAAATGGACAGTGTCATAGAAGGGCTCAGGAGCAGATTTGAAATGATGGAAGATAGGATCAGCGAAATTGAAGACAAACACTTGGCTACAACTCTGAGGAAAAATCAGAAAAAAGAACAAAGAAAAATGAAGAAACCCTGAGAATTATGTGCGATACAATCAAAAGCAAAAATACGTGAGTGATCAGAGTTTCAGAACAGGGGGAGAAAATGGAAAACACAGAGAGGATCACTGAAGAGTTGCTGACAGAAAACTTCCCCAATATCATGAAGGATGAAAAGCTGACTATCCAAGAAGCTCAACGAACCACAGAAGATAGACTCCAAAAGAAAACCACCAAGGTGTATCATAATCTCCCTCACTAAAACCAAAGACAAGCAAAGAATCCTGAGAACAGCTTGAGAAAAACAAAAAGTCACATATAGAGGAGAAACAACAAGGCTAAGCTCAGATTATTCGGCAGAAACTATGCAGGCAAGAAAGCAATGGGATGACATATATAAAACCTTGAGAGAAAAAAATTGCCAGCCAAGAATAATATATCCTGCAAAACTCTCATTCAAATACGTTGGTGAAATTAGGTCATTATGCAGATACACAGAAATTAAGGGAATACGTAAAAACCAATAAACTTACAAGACTTATTAAAGGGAGTCCTTAGATCTGAGAATAAACAACATCAGACCAGAGGCTGAATATAGGAAACAGGATTGTACTAGCCAGATACCAACCTAGGAAATGAACTCTTAAGGACTATGTAAAACCAAAAGAATTACAACAGGGAATCAGAGAGGTTAATCTGTAAATGACAACAGCATCAGAACACTAAAAGAGGGACTAAGCAGTGTAGATATAGAACCTTCTAATGGAGAGGAAGGCAAGACAATACCAAGTAATAATAGACTGGTTCAAATCTAGGAAGATAAGGGTAAATTTCAAGGCAACCACAAAGAAGGTAACAAACCTACTCAATAATGTAAAGAAGAAACACATAAAGTCTCAGTGAAAGCAAAACCTACAAAAACAAAAGAACTGAAAACAAATCCACAAACAAAAGGAACTCAGCACAGGAGAGTAAGAGGAACAAAGAAAATGTCAGCACCACAAAAAAAAAGCACTATAAAATGCAATCCCACTCCTAGGAATATATCCTAGAGAAATAAGAGCTGCACACAAATAGACATATGCACACCCATATTCACTGCAGCATTGTTCACAATAGCAAAAAGATGGAAACAACCTAGATGTCCATCAACAGATGAATGGATAAACAAACTAGGGTACATACACACAATGGAGTATTATGCAATGATAAAGAATAGTGATGAATCTGTGAAGCATCTCATAACGTGGATGAAACTGGAGGACATTATGCTGAGTAAAATAAGTCAATCACAAAAGGACAAACGTTGTATGAGACCTCTACTGTAAAAACTCATGTAAAAGTTTACACACAAAAAGAAACAAACTTTGTTGGTTACGAGGGATGAGGGGAACTAAATAGACAATAGATAAGTGGTAACTTTGGTGAAGGGTAAGACAGTACACAATACTAGGGAAGCCAGTACAACTTGTACAAGGAAAGGTCACGGAAGCTCCATAGACACATTCAAACTCCCTGAGGGACTGAATTGCTCAGCGGAGGGCTGTGGGGACTATGGTCTCGGGGAACATCTAGCTCAATTGGCATAGCACAGTTTATAAAGACAATGTTCTACCTTCTACCTTGGTGAGTAGCATCTGGGGTCTTAAAAGCCTGTGAGCAGCCATCTGAGATACTCCACTGGTCTCACCCCTTCAGGAGTAAGGGAGAATGAAGAGAACAAGACACAAGGAAAAGATTAGTCCAAAGGACTAATGGACCACAGCTACCATGACCTCCACCAGACTGAGTCCAGTACAGCTAGATGGTGCCCGGCTACCAGCGCTGACTGCTCTGACCAGGATCACAATAGAGGGTCCTGGACAGAGCTGGAAAAGGATGTAGAACAAAATTCTAACTCACAAAAAAAA